AACGTGGTTGCCATGGGAGGAAAACCCCGGGGGGGGGGGGGGGGGGGTTAACTCATGTAGGGGGGGCGTCCTCAAAGGATCCATGAGCATAGGCGGTCCCAGCTCATGCTTGCGGCTGCTGATTGCTGCTTCTGCTGCTGCTGCTGCTGCTGCTGCTGCTGCTGTTACCTTTGCTCGTGCTGCTTCTCCTCGTCTTGCTGTATGTGCTGCTGTTGCTGACGCTGCTTCTGATGGTGCTGCCGACGTTCCAGACATGAACCACGAAACCAGGCAAACCCAGTGGAACCACCCGGCCGACCCCACGCCCGAGTCACGACCACCGCCGAGCTACGAGCCCCCGAGCAACGGCCTCTACGCCGAGCAAGGAGTTGTAACCGCCACGGCGGTGACGGCACCCCAGTACGTGGAGACAGTCGGAGCACAACCAGCAGGAATTCAGGTACAGTTAAAATAAATAAGCGCAGTAAGACTGCTGTACCTGGGTGTACAGATTTGTAAATTGTTTATTGTTGGTGCTTTGAGGTTCCCTGGGCTGTTCGAGGGTGGGAAACGTCACTTTGACGGCAGCTGGCAGCTGATTCACACCACCACACATGCTTTACTTTCAGCTTACATCACGCCTGCATGACAATGCTACTATGCTTTGCCGAGCCCACTCGCGAGGCTCGCCTTGTATATACGGTGAACAGCGGTAGACGCCGTGCACCACCGACCGCCACCGCCACGAACAGCGGCGTACGCGTGGCGTTGCAGTTTAGCTTTGTTGCGTATGTCTCGGCTTGTCTCGAACCTATTGAAGTGGTGTTTTTTCTGGACCTCGCCCCCTTCTCTCTACACGGGCCTTGTTTGACCCCCCCCGGGTAGCGCCACACGCGAGGTAGTGGGTTTTAAGCTGCTGTGATTCCTATTCTCACCCCCAACCCCCACGGCTTGTGTCGTACTTCTTGGAGCAACTTGCCGCCGGTGTCGTGTCGGGGGTTGCGCCGTACTGCTGTAGCACTTCCCCAAGTCGACTCCTCGTTTCCTTCCACAGGACACGACCTGCGCCTGCGTAGAAAACGTTTTTATGAGCAAAATAGTCAAAAGGCGGTCTTTTCGTTCATTCTCCGTATGATTATGTGTGTCTCTCGCTGTGTCATCGCTCTCTCGAGCGGAGTGAAATTGTTGTCATGAACTTGCCGTGCCCCCCCCCCCCCCCCCCCCGCCGATGTTGTTTTCCGCGCGCTCCGCCGTCCGGGCCGTCTCCCGAACTATAGTTGACCACGTGTACCCAGGCCGGTCATCATCCTCAGGCCGGCGGGGTGGTCACTACGCAGCCCGGTCCTGGACACACAGTAAGGATGGGGATGATGGTGTTCGATTTGTTTCCTAGGTCATCACCTCCTTTTTGGTTGTCATGACATGTCTACGCACCACCAATTTTCACTGCGATGTTGTTCAAAGGTCATTCACTGTCGTTCCGGGGGGGGGCGCTTGGGGCAGTGATGTCGGTTTAAGGGGCTGGGCAGCGGGATGTCTCCCGGCCGGGACTATTCCTGGTCGCCGACCCCCCCCGTATTCCTCCTCAAGTGGAGGAGTGTCCCCCCTCGGGATAACGTTAAGGTGCAAAATACAATTGACAAAGAGGGCACGGATGGACCCCCCGCCCTGCCGCCGCTCCCCTCTGTCGCGAAAAAAGTAGGTGTCCCCGGCGTGTACCCGTTTTCTTAGATGTGATATATCCCGAAAATATGACCATGCCTGGGAAGTGTGGTTGGGTGTGGATTTCGTCTACTTAGGGAAAAGTATGTAGTCTAGGCGAACAGAGGCAGCGAATGACAAACATGGACGGAAACCCAACTCAACACAAGCCCTAACCGCACGCTTTCAAAAACAGGTGATTGTGGTGCAGGAGGGGAACCGGAATATCCCGCCAAACGCGCCGGATGGTGGCCAGTGGAAGCAGGAGAGGTACTGCGGGCTCATCACGTGGCTGGTCGCCCTCTTCGTTGTCCCGTTTATCGGCTGCTGCATGCCGTGTTGTCCGTGCGACGAGCGGACAGTGAGTGCTTGTGCTGCTGCTGCTGCTGCTGCTGCTGCTGCTGTTGTCGGCGTTGTATCCGCTGTGTTGTTGTCGGAGGATATCCCCGCTTCATTCAACAGTTTTGTTTACTCGTGGTGGTTGGTGGCTTCTCTCTCGCAGGATTGGTACTACAACTGTCAGTGGAGGGCCCTCAATAACACCGGCATGTGCCCGGCGCATCGATCCGCGCCATTCAATGTACAGAGCGACTTTGTGATTCTGTCTGTGCCCAGCAGAGTCGCCGAAGCCATACAGGGCCACCGGCGCCAGTCAGTATTGACCCCCCCCCCCGCTGTATCGAGAGGCTAAATATGGCGATTGATGCCCACGACGGTGACGCTAGCTATGCATATCCCGTACTCTAGTTTAGCAGTCTACGGTATCCCCCGCCCGACACAGGGGGATTCGATTGCTTATCAGACGAAGGAACCCCTCCCCCCCGCGCGCGCGCGCTCCTTTTCTCACGGTGACGACGCGCCTTCGCTCCTCCCTGTTCAGGTTTATATCGCAGACGGCGTACGGTACAGCAGATACGGCGCCATCATTCAACCAAGTTGCTGTGGCTGTGGCTGATGACAGAGGGAGGGCGAGGGAGAAAGCGGAGAAGAGATCTCCGGAGACCGGGACGCGAACGGCACAAGGCGAAAAACATGACTTGTTATTTATCAAGTCTGGGGGGGGGGGGGGGGGCAGTGCGCCCGGTTTGTGTTATTGGGTACAAAAAATCTGGGACC